ATATAATATGCAGAATGATGCCCATGAGTTGGGTGTGAAAATATTTGTGTATTTTTTTAATGCATTCATTATTAAACTTTATTGGAGAGAGAGAAAAGAACAATGTTTCAAATTGAGCATTTGTTGTCAAATTGAGCACTTATTGTAATTTTTAAAATTTATTATTAACATAAGAACTTGCCGTGGTGCATGCTCTTAAGTAAAAAAAACTCAAAAGTCATAGTTTCAGCAGTATTTCAACACTTTCAAAATGAGATATTGTGGAAAGGATACAAATACTTAATATCTTACTTGTTGCATAGTGCTTTAAACTCTCATTTTACAGAAATAATTTATTTTTTTACACTGTTGGCAGACCTTTATCTCGTCTGAACGCGTTCTTAAAACAACAATTTCAAAAACTGTATAGCTGTTATGCAATTTTTGAAATTTGGTATGCTTGTTTACAGTATCTTGTGTGTCTATGGTGTATAATGATGTGATTGTGATGCTGTAATTCTGAGTGTTTATGAGCTGCAGAACAGGAACCTGCGGTAAAACAGCAATTATGCTGAGTCAGGCTTGATTTTTAATAATCTTTTCCTGTAAAATAAATAAATCAATCAAATCATGCAAATTGTATTGCTAAACCTTCACATCAGCAATAGTTTTGCATGACACAGATTTTTCCAGTAGACATTTTTTGATTTTTCTGTTAGAGGTACCACAGGCTTCATTGGAAAATCTACAGCTTGTTGCTACTGTTGTTGCTGCCGAGTTTTCAAATGATCATGTAATGCAAAATTCACCGGGGTGTAAAGGTTCAAAAATGGCGTTTGCATAAAATATTTTAAATAGAGGCTGCTTGGATTAGTTGTTAATTCATCAATCTGCTCAGGATTGTACTGTATTTCTCTAAAATAAGAGCATTTACGGAGTTTATCTACAAGTAAGATGGTAGTTCCTCAAAACCTGTCCACACAACTTTCCTTCAAAAGAGCTGAACTATCCTTTTAAAGGGGTCCATGATTAGTTGTAACATTAAACTTTATTTAATAAACATATTTTAACTGTAAATACCGTAGGCTGTTCAGTTTTTATAATTTTAAACTAAAAGTTTAAAAATAAATTACACGGACGGGGCCATTTTATTTTCACGCAAGGCATTCTGGGTAAATGATGACATAGATAGGTCCTCRGTGCGAGGCTGCTAGCGAGCTATATCCACCCTGAAGGTTGATCTTGGACAATATCTGAYGATCDDCTCTTTTAAATGAAACCAGAGAGCGTTGACAGAGAGGAGAAGGTAGAAATGACTCAGCCTGTAACTGAAAATATAGATGGAGGACAACAGAGCTGCTTCATGGAAGAAGAACCTCAGCTTAGCCTGTTAGCTTTAGCACTAGCCCCGACGCTATCACCATATATATGTATTAGCTCAGCGTTACACATTCTCCTCTCATCACTGAGGTCCTCCGTCCACATGACAGAGAGGGGAACGCAAAAATGACTCAGCCTGCAACTGAAAATATGGATGGAGGACCTCAGTTTAGTTTGTCGCGTTAGCGCCGAGCTAATATATACAATGTAATATAGCGTCGGCGCTAGCACAAAGGCTAACAGGCTAAGCTGAGGTTCTTCTTCCATGAAGCAGCTCTGTTGTCCTCCATCCATATTTTCAGTTACAGGCTGAGTCATTTCTACCTTCTCCTCTCTGTCAACGCTCTCTGGTTTCATTTAAAAGAGTCGATCATCAGATATTGTCCAAGATTAACCTTCAGGGTGGATATAGCTCGCTCACACTGAGGACCTATCCAGGTCATCATTTACCCAGAATGCTTTGTGTGTAAATAAAATGGCTCCGTCCGTGTTAAAATGTATTTTTAAAAATTTACAAAACTAAACATCCTATAGTATTTTTACAGTCTTTATTTTATAGTTAAAATATACTGTATGTTTATCAAATAAAGTCTAATGTTACAACTAATCAGGGATCCCTTTAAGTTTTGATATGATTCTGCCCTTTGTGTTCTTTGACTTGACGCAATGGCCACTGCATTTTTCTTCTATATAACTCATGATTTGTGTGTTATTAAACCATTAGATGCTATCAAGCCTTTTAAATGATTTAATTACCMAGGAGGACCATGCTTCAGGCGGGTGAAAAGCAGACCATACATATTCATTAGGGCTGGATTACAGAATCAAACCCACCCGGCGACCTCAGCCCTTGTGCACGGTCCCACCGCATCCTCCGTCCCCACTCCCTGTACCCAACGCCACCCTTCAGTAGTTCACACACAACAGTCTCCTATGTTCTTCACATTGTGCAGGGTTGGAAGTGGGTTCTACCCCCACAGCTCGTCATTCATCAGTCCTGATCCAATCACTGATAGGAGCGGCAGAGGGGGAAAGATAAGACCACTGTTTGGAGTGCTCCCCGAGGCCTCCATCTGTTCATCTACTCCAACCATTGTTTAAAAGAAAAATATATATTTAATTTTTTCACATAGTGATGCTTTATATTTGCCATTGAATTTACTTTTTTATATTGTTATGCTATGAATTTGGTTAACATAATGTTACTTTTAGCAAAGTATGAAATTAAACCAAAAAAAAGCCATTTTAAACAAATGGTGCACTTTGAAAGAGTTTACTCCAGTGGATGTTCAGATATATTGAATGCACTTCTGAAATGCAGGTACACACTCAATGTAAACAAACATGCTCTCTGCTAAAAACCTAGTGGAAGCTTGAGACATGATTGACCTACATTAGCTGGCTGTATGTGTAGGTAAACGAATGTGACTGATAATGTTTAGTATTTTCAGTCACTTTGGCAGTGTCTGTAGGTAACAGTCAACGTGCGTTCTGGTCACAAGCTTTGCTTACAAATATTTTCTTTAAGAACACAATAACCATTGGTATGTGGAAAAATAATGCATTGATTTTATTTCTTGCTTTATGATTTTGTTTCTTCTGCATGACTTTGCAAGGACTACCTTTTTAAAGCTCTGCTATTTTTGTCCCTAAAGGTGGTTCTTTCACAACAACATCAGGATTGTATACAGGAAACAACTCTCTGACGAACTCAACTGGTTTTAACAGCACACAACAAGTAGGTGTATGCTTCTTCCACACTTCTCTGATCTGTCTTGATAACCAGCTAACAGTTCACAACTGAGGTTTGTGCTGCAGACACTGAACCTTGAAAACCTACTCAAAACATGTATGCACAGTATGTTATTTTTTAGCCTTGACGCAGTCCACATAAATCACTCACAATGTCAAAAAGCTTTGTACACACGATTATCTATTGTGCTTCTTTCAACACTTGGATTATGCCACAGACAAAGAAAAAAAAGATGGATCATTGTCCAGATGTGGAACAGAACAGACATATGTTTGCATTTATTTTTTTGGAATCTGCTCCATAAAGTAGCAACACAGGGCAAATCTCAGATTACGCTGCCTAACCACCCACTTTATTTTCTGCAACATGGCTACATTTTTGTCTTTTTTTCCCCTTTTGATCAAAAGCTCTCCTTCTCGTTCATTAACCCTATCTTTGTTCCTATCACCCCGCACTTTCCTTATCTTCAGGACTACCCCAGCTATCCCGGCTTTGGCCAGGGCCAGTATGCTCAGTATTACAACAGTTCCCCCTACACCTCCCCCTACATGACAAGTAACAACACCAGCCCCAGCACGCCCTCCACCACCACCACGTACACCCTCCAGGAGCCGCCCGATGGCGTCACCAGCCAAGCCCTCACAGACCACCCCGCAGGTAAGAATCGAACAGGCAGAACTTTTAGTCATTTCATTTCATAAACTTCAGTGTGGCGGGCAAAAAATAAAAAGTCTAAACTGAAGTCAGATGTAGAATTTACTGTAATTTCATGTGACATTAATGCATGATCTGGCAATTAAGATTATATCTTTATAAGTCACTCAAAGTTTTTTTTTTTTTGGACTGCATTTGAAATTGTCATCAAACAGCACTGAAGACAGCTGGCTATAACTTAACATAATTTCATAATTTCACACAGTCATCTCATTTAGATAAGACAGCTCGTTGGCATGCACTCTGTTACTTCTTGTTTATTAAATCAGTGCAGTGCACAATAGCTTTTCTGTTCCATAACTGAGTTACGATATGTTTGTTATCTGCAGTCCCAAATAATTTGTGTCTCAATAATGTCTCCTGCAGGATGCAGTCTGTCCTGCATCAAGACAAATGACCAATCAGACATCTTGTCTAAAAGCGAATAACCTTTTGATGCACGCTTTTTATAATCCACCCCCTAACCTCCCCCCGCTGTTCTTTCCTTCCTTTCAGTAGAGTACAGTACCATCCACAGTCCATCAACCCCCATTAAAGATTCAGATTCAGATCGATTGCGCCGGGCCTCGGATGGAAAGTCACGTGGCCGTGGAAGAAGGAACAACAACCCATCACCGCCGCCCGACTCTGACCTTGAGGTAGGATGAGCCCGCTGCCTTGGCGACAGACAGCCTCGCCCTGTCTGAAGCGCATAGACGTTAATCCACTTACTGTATGGCTGCCGCACCAACTTAAACAGTGCATGCGCATTAATTTTTAACACTTTATTCTTCAGCTGCTCTTCAATTATTTACGCYCCGTGGAATATATGACTCAACGCACGTCGTCTGGAGAGTCCCTGTGAATAACTTGTAAATAAACAATGAGGCTTGTAATTAAATGAACAGAAGATATATATGAGTTCCTGACCGCTCCTCACTAGCTGCAGCATGTGACGGCGCTTTTAGAGACCATCTGTAAAAATAAAGCCTGGATAATTTCAGGGCTTCTTCATTAATACGGTATTAATTTGAATGAGGATAACAGCAGCCATTATAGCGCTGACATCATGGTGTGTTAACATTTCGAGTTAATTAGTTTGTCATTATTGATTCCTCTAATGTAAAGGGCAAGGGGTGGAATCTGTGTAGCGGGGTGATGAGAGGGGTGTTGCGGTGACCAGTCCAAGCAAATGGATCCTGGTCCCTGTGGCACGCAAATACACGCTCCTGGCCTATTGACCAGGAGGATCACCTTGCAGCCCTACAGAGTGCACCATTGATTTTGCTTCTTTTCTCTCTCTCTCTCTCTCTATTTTTTTGCTCCCCTCTCTCTCCCTCCCTTCTCTTTCTCCTTTCCATCTCTCCAGCGAGTTTTCATCTGGGACCTGGATGAAACAATCATCGTTTTCCATTCCTTGCTTACGGGTTCTTATGCCAACAGATATGGACGGGTGAGTGACATCAGACTGTGGCAGTAGCAGTGCACTTTATCAGCAAAACGTATAAATATTAAAAGGAGAGAATAAGGATCAGCTTAGGGTAATGGCCATTGAGCGGAGGATAGATTTCACTTTGTTCTAAGTCCACAGCACGAGGACACAGCAGAACTCGATGTACAGATAATTGTTTCTTTTTTTTTAATAGGCCCAATGAGGCCTGGCAAGTATTTGCCTCCTTTTTGCAGCTGTCAGAGCAATGCATGGCCGGTCGGGGCTCGGCTGGAGGGACTCGCAACAGTTGCACTCAGGCTGTCTATTGACACGTCTTGAGTGTTCTTTTCTCCTTCAGAAATACCACATTGTTAGTTTAATTAAGTGCTTCTCAATCCGTTCTTTTCAGCCAGGGTTCTCCCCGGAGACCACAGCAAGAAGCCGTGCCTAACAAATGTGATTCAGTCTAACTAAAACACAGATTCTTTTCCATTTGCCTCAGTTAGGAATCAAACAAAAGACCTATATATATATATATTCATAAATCTTAACATTTTTTATTATTAAAGTAGAAGGTCACTTTTATCCCAGATATCCCTGTGTATGGTCATATTATGAAGTTTGCTTTTCCAGGCTTTGCTATTTGTTATTTCATGTAAATTGTTTCTCTAATTTTAAACTTTCCAAACAAACGATTTGGGAAATAAGGCAGAAATCTATTCTCATGGTTTTGTTGGAGTCACGGGCTTTATATAGCTTCAGCGTGTGTTATCTTTTTTTTTTTTTTTGCTTTTTCTGTCAAAATGTTGCAACGTCCTTTTTTTTGTCACCTGTTTTGACTGTGAATTCGTCAAGATTTAAAGTTTAAAATAACGACTCATCGTTTGTCAGAGAGCTTAGTGTCTGCGGGCCGTGCTCTGTGTCTTTGTTCTGGTATGAGGCGGTGTTTGATGGGGGCAGTGTTTTGTTTCTGGGGTGAAGGAGGGCTGCCCCGCGACCCTCCACTGTTTATTTACTTTCTTCTCAGCCCTTGCATGCTGGGTAAAAGGAGAGCTAAAGCTCAGGGAGCCGTGGCTCTGCGATGAGGGGCTCTCACACTATACACACACATAGGAACAGACACACAAACACCCATAGGGTCCTCCAGTGGGCTTCTCTAAAACAGGAAGCGCTCTTTAACTTCACAAGGGCCCATTCCGTCGAAGCTCATATGGGATGTGACAGTCACTGGAGGCCCTCTCTCACTCTGTTTTCTTTTCTCCTCCTCTGCCCATTCCAGTCACCTTTTCACAAACCTTTCTCTCGTTATTTTAAGCTCCAACACGTTAAACCAGCTTTATGATGCGGGAACGCTTCATCACAGCAGCCGCTATCAGATACAAAGTAAAGCAAATGAACATCCCCCACGAGCAGCCGCCATTTCCCCGCCTCCTCCTAAATGTCTGTCATTCATGTCGTGTCCATCTCAGAGGCATAAACAAAAAAGTTACAAAAGCRTTTTTCTCTCCTCGCTGCTCTTAACTTACTATAAATAGATGTGTATCTGAGAGAGTCCACATGCACTTTCTCTCACTCGCTGTGACCTCCACTCTCGATGACTTTTTTTTCTCTCTCTCTCATGCTCACATAAACACAGCCCTCTTCTTATCAGCCGTTTTAATTGGCATCAAGGCACTCACCCCCATAAAGCTGATGGCTGAGGCCAGCTGTGCTGATATTGGGCAGCCTAGAGCTTGGGCTTAAACTCGGTAAGGATGTGTGGGTGTGGGTGGTGGGGTGTTACTGCTAAGGGACTCCAAGGGGGATGGGGTGGGGGCACTTGGCGCCCTCCTGAAGACAGTGACATCTCAGGACAGGTGGTTGCTGGAGCAATGACAGCAGCAGCACTTTGGCCTTCTGGCCTGCTTGTATTCTTAACTCCCTCACTGACTGATTGTTTAAATTTAATTGGGAGGGATTCGCTCGCGCCGTGGAGGACCGCCTTTTCCCACCGAAACCGGTCGCTCAATCACCCGGCAGCGGCAGAGGTTGGGAAGAGGGAGGTAGCCCCGCTGAAATAGGGAGGCTAATTGTTTTTGATGAATTCTMACTGAAAGATTGATTCAAACTGGGAGGTTGAGAGAAAAGAGAAAGCCCGGAGAAGTGGGGGGATTGAGCTCTTCTTGTGTGGTTTGTACTTTGTCATTTTAGTGAAAACATAAGCATTGTGGGGTGTGACAGCTAATCAGCAGAGAGCTCAGGTGTGTCTTTAGGTGGTTTAACTCTAATCCCGGCTTCTGGTCCTGCCTGGCCTGTCTTAAATGCAGCTGGGTGGAAACCTCCTCGACGGACAGCTGTTGTCTTTTTGTCATCGCTGGAGACAATTTGCTGATTAGAGATTTAAGATACAAGAGAAAATGAGGGTATATAATTATTATTTTTTATTCTTGCACAATTCTTTATATCATATTTTTTTACTATTAGCAGTTGTATCTTCGCGGGTTAGTTTTAATTTCATTTTTGTGCACTATCTATAGTTTGTAAAGTAACTAGTGTGTGAAACTTTGTACTGATGCTGCTGTGACACCTGATTTTCCCCTCGGCGGGACAATAAAGGCTATTTCTATTCTATTCTATTCTTCTATATAGGTGAAAATGAGGTGGAACAAATAACTGCAGTAATAAATTAATTTGAGAAAAAAGCTATATTAGAATTAAACCCTAAAATTGAATATATATATATATTATCCTTTCAAAAAATTGCACACATTGTCACAGCCTCATTAGCTATTTACAATATACTCTTTTGGAGGTACAGACAGTGCGATCATGTCATCACAGCCTGTGTCACATTACTTTAATTTAAGTTTAAAAAATGATAATCTCTGTTGCAAAGCTTTGCAAACTTCTATTCTGTATTTGCAATTAGTTTTTTTTTGTTATAATTCTTAATTATCTGAAGAAAACAAAGAATAATAAGTACTATATTAACTGAAAAGCAGTCAAATGATGCATGGGTACAAAAATGTGGAGAATGCACTATTTACGATTTAGGCGGTGACCCCGGCTCTTCCAAATTGACCACCCTACCTGAGAAGAGACACGCTTTTACTGCTTTCATTCAAGTCTGGGGCATTTCTGATGACTATTCTGGTTTTTTCCAGAAGGTTGTAAAAGGAGGCCAAAACTTTCAAGTCTGTTTTTATGAGAAACGCCTGCTGTGGAGTTTAAAAGGGATTTCAGCGATAATTGAATGACTCATAGTGGATATTGTTATTGACTGTTTTACATCTTTTGCTTCTTGTACTTCTTCAGATGAAAAAAAAAAGCAATCCAAAAGATTTCAACACTTGTTTAACTTTGTTTCGTTTCTTTCGCTTTAAGGACCCGCCAACATCTGTGTCATTAGGTCTGAGGATGGAAGAAATGATCTTCAACTTGGCCGACACACACTTATTCTTCAACGACTTAGAGGTGAGTGTGTGTGCGTGCGTGCGTGCGTGCGTGTGTGTGTGTGTGTTTGCTGCCGTCTGATTCCGTTTTGGCTTTAATGGCCAGAGACGTGTGAAGAGTTTAATGCCAAATGACAGTTTGAGTTGATTTTGATAAAAGCAGCAACAACTGCAGTACAGCATGGACCCCATCTCTCAGTTATCCATCCTGTTGCAGTGAGGAATTACCTCCCAGCCCAGGGCACACCATGAATTTTGCATCTGATGTCAGTCTCTTGGGTCACCAGCCCCACCACCATATTTTTCCCACTCTCATGGCAGCCAGTGCAATTTGTCAGGCTGTCTGCCTGCCTGTGTGTCATGCTGTGTGCTCGGTGTCGCTGTCCTCCTACGCCAAACTCCCCTCCGTCACATCATGAACCCCCCCCCATCCATGAACGAGCGTGCTGCAAAGTGCACAAATCAAGACATCAAACCTAAATCTGCACTTTTCACATTTAGTAATGAATTTAAAATGTTTTCAACCACACTACCCAGTTCTCTGGCTTTGATTTAATGTTTTCATTCCTTCTGCTTTTGTCCATATTTTCCTCCTTCTCCCAGCAAACCTGATCCCACTGACCCACCTTTTCTCTTCAGTGTCCTGCTTTACGCTGACCTCACAAAAAAGGAAATGTTTTGTTTGATACTTAAGTGCGAAAAGATCTGTGGCCAGTCTGCCAAGTCTCATTACTCACCGCTGTGTTCGGCCATGTTACATGAAGCAAACCCAAGAGGGAGGAGGAAAACATGAAAAAAAGGAGAGAGAGAGAGATAGAGAGACTGGGAAAGAAAATGTTCGTACTTCCTTGGACAGACAAGTGATTGAGATTCCAAACACAGTCATTGTGATCAAAGTTAATTGGCTACAATTGACTGCTTAAATATTTCCTCATGCCCCGGCCATGTAGAATCCATTCTAGCTGCGCTTTATTTAACAGACGTGCCCCAATCATATGAAAAAAAATGGCAGTTTGTGACAAGTCTTAAATGTGGTTTTGCTCAACATCTGTCCCGTGTTTTGACTTCTTTTCATGTGTGACGAAACCATTCACAGATGAATTGGCAGCTCAGTCTACTTATAAAATTATTGGAAAACGCGCACATTTCTTCTGCTCTTTCTCTGGAACAGAATTATTAGATTTTGTTTTGACACTCAAACGATTCAGATTCTTGTTTTTTCTTCTTCTTCTTTTTTTCCCTCCTCCAACTTTAAGCCATCGTGACTGAAATAGCCAACTGTGGTCTGTCCAAAGGAATGCTTTATAGCATGTCCAACATAAAGACTTTTTCTGCAGATGCTGCAGTGATTGTCATTAATAATCACTTCAGAGCAGGAGTGACATTCTCTCAAAGCGTTTCACCTACTAAACTGAACCAGGGCAGGCTGAGTGTTAATTGTTAGTTCTCAGCAGAGCCTAACCAGTTGTGTTTCCTCTCTGCTGATTTACAGTCCACCATCTCTTACAGAACTAAAAGGAGTCCCACTATAAATACCGCAGTCAGCAGCAGTTATGTATTTAAGCATGTGCAGAAATGCATTTGGTCCATCTAATTTAGTCTAAGCCATAAAGGGAGACCCCAGAGGCTGTGCAGAAACACAGGTGCAGAGTTAGCGGCCAAACAGTGTTTGAGTGGCCCATCCATGTTTAAACGCTGTCGTCCTGCCAGCTCCTGGACAAGGACGTCTGAAAATTATCATCCAGGTCCTAATTATCTCCACCTCCTATTTGAATGTTTTTGTACTTTAAGTTTTTGAAAAGAGCAGGGGGAACATCCCCTTTAATAGCTCAGATCTCTGTGAACAGTTAATATCTTACCTGTTGTAGATAGCTCTTTGAACAATGTCAATTTGGAGAAAAAGAGTTTAATTGAACTTCTTCATGTGGCGAGACCTTAACCAGCCTTAACTCGTCAACTCTACTGGTCTGTAGTTTTATAAATAGTTACCCAATGAAAAAAATTAAGAAACGAGCTTGTGAACTTGTGACGGCACTGTTATTTATTTATTTATTTTCATAATGAAAAGTAGTTTTTGGAGATACAAACTTCCTGCCTGACAAAACCCCCATGGACTGAAATGAAGTTTTTAAAACTGCAGCAGTCTACTTTAGTCTCAAACAAACAGCTTATTAATGTGGTCAAAATTAAACTGTATTTCTCCAAACTAAGACTGTTCAAAGAGCTATCTACAACAGGTAAGATGTTACTTGTCCATAACTTTTCACAGAATCCCACTTCAAAAGACCTGAATTATCCATTCAAGCATATTGTTGTGTTCAGTGTGTTGTCCAGAGCAGCAGCGCTGGTTTTTGCTTGTGTTCTGCGTGTGTTTGAGTGTGGCTGTGTGTGAGTCGGAGGCTGGACTGTGTTGATAGAGCTGGTGAGTGATGATTCAGGGGAAAGTCATAAAAAGAAAGAGGGCATGCCGAAGGGGTCAACAGGGATCAGTTTCACCCTTATGTCTTTCTCTCTCTCTCTCTCTCTCTCTCTCCCTCTCTCTCTCTCTCTCTCTCTCTCTCAGTCACTGTTTTTTAAGATGAGTCGCTGAAATTCTGCAGCTTCACCAAAAGACTCGCCCTCCCAACACACACTCGTCCGCAAACCTCTTATCGATCGCCTGCCGCACACCATTTGCTGCTCGGCCCTTTAAAGGACGAGTGAAGTATTGTATGAACAGCGCAATCGGGTTTTATCGTCAAAAATGCTCTCAGCCAAAGAAGTTTTAGAAAAGTAATTCAAGGAAATGTGATACCTATTGATGCGTTTCCCCACTGTATTAATTTGACCCCATCAAAGAAGCTGTATTTCAGTAGTGGCAGAGATAAACACAGTTATAAACATATTGTGCTGCATAGAGGACGAACGCCAACCTTGTGTTTTTATTGGAACACCATAATAAGRTTTTACAGATAAATTATGAGGGGTTTTTGCAAACTGAAAGGCATTTTCATGCAGGAAATGTGGTTGCATGTGGAGTTAACTGATGGTCTACAGTGATGTGAATAATGAAGCCCTCTGAGGCCGGCTTCGCTGGCTGACTGACAGCTCTGCTGTGACTCGGAGGTGTGAGTTTACTATAGGTGTGTTGCCGGAGCCCAGACGCTAATGCTGAGCAGTATGTGGGAACCAGGGGCCTTGTTCGAGCGAGCTGAGCCCCCTGTGATCCCCTCTCAGTGGGATACAGGGGGTTGTCGTCTCCTGCCTCTTTGTATGAGAAAACAACCCTCCCTGCCTGGAGAATAAAGGGCATGGGGGCAAACCACTCACAGAGAGAGTGAGAGTGGGAGGGGGTGAGCTGAAATGGGTCTTCTGCTGCATCTGAACTACGTGCAACACATACATGCATGCAGACATGTACCTAACAAGAACTCGTGAAAATTTCCACAAACCCTGACACACACACACACACACACACACACACACACGCATACCTGTGCACCAGGGCTGTAACACTGTATGCTGACTACCATTTATAGCTCCCAGCCGGCGGTGGCAGGGGTGAAACCTCCTCTGTCACTCCCACCAGGGGGCTGCTTGTTAATGAGAGATGCTGTGAAATGCACGGGTACCTTTTGCACTTTCTGAAATGGTTCTCCAGAGCCTCTTAGCTTGGAACTGTTCTGTTAGGTTTTACGTCCCACAGCTGAGATTCAGATCCTGGACTTGCCCTTTTATGTGACTGGTAGCCTAATAAAGTTTTTACCTGATATTTTACTTTTCCGTAATTCTGTTCAGGATAAACCTTATGTTTGCATTAATTTCCTTTGAATTGAAATAGTAAAGGAAATAGGTAGTTTGTGGAAGAAATATGTTTGAGTAATATCTTACCTGTTGAAAATAGCTCATTGAATGGCTTCAAACTGGAGAAAAAGTTTAATTCTGACCTGACTGACAAACTAACAKCTACAGTTCAACAAAACTAGACCAAAGTAGATCACCACCATTTTAAAATAACTCAAAATGGTTCATCCAAATGCTATTTTAAAAACTATTTCACCACTATTCCTGCTGGAAGTCCAAGCTGCACATTGCTGCTGCCCTTTTTGCACTTGCAAAAATTAGATGTAAACAACCATAAAATGCAAAATTTAAGAAAATTTAAAACAGCATTTGCAGGAATCCCTATATTTTTTGAGTTTGGCATTGTTGTTTTTTTTTAACAAGGTAGTTCAAAATGACTATCTACAGCAGGTAAGATGTTGATTGTTCATAAACTTTTCACAAAATAATGACCTAGCTGCAGAATTGCCAGCAAACCTTTTAAATGTTGTGGTGCTATTTTCATATTAAAATAAATGACTCCCTGATTTGAATCAAAGAATAAATATTTGCACAAGAAAAGTCGCTTCAGAACCAGAAACTGGATGTTTCTGTTTGTCCTTTTTAAACGTTTTTTTAGAGCATTCTTTTGAAAGCAAACAATACTGTTTTCATATATTTTGTCAAACGGTTTGTGTGGGTCTGAACACACTCATGTGGGTACTTCATCACTTGCTTGGCCACTGATGCAGCACTTCTGTCATGTTTATTAACGTGACTCCGTCTCTGGCCTGAGCCACTGATGGCTTCTGGAAAGACTACAGACGGAAGGTGGAGGCTTCAAAGCAGCACTGTCAGTCTTCACTCCACAGAGTGCCACATCACCCCCACCCCTCTACCTCACCGTCCCAACACAGCCACTGCTCACACCAAGACGGGCTGAGGATGCATGGGGAAAAAAAACTGGAGCGTTACTCTCTGGCAAATGATATTATTTAATACAAAGTTCTTGTTCAGAATTAGAAACGAAGACGCAGCACCTGTCTAACAAGACAGGAACATAAATCACACAGATTTGTCTAAACAGTCCATTTGGCAGGAACTAACTGGTTTTCCATAGATATTGCTTGGGGAAACTTCCTAAATGACTGAGATTTGAATAATGTCGCTTGCCTTGAGATGCAGTTTGGATGACATTTACAAAAAAGGGAAATAATGAGC